CTCAATAGTTGGCACAATTCATAAAAGCAATGAATAATTTAGTCTAAAAAAGTTATAATAATTTTATTTCAACAGAACTTCAATCAATTAAAAGTTATAAATGTTTTCCTATTAAAGCCGTAAATGTGATGCTATTATTATAATTGTGTTTTTGGCAGTAATTTAAGTCGAAATACTTGATCCACAACTTAAGGTCAGTCACATCGCTCTCAACCATTATATCAATTAATAACTGACCCAATAATACATTTATATTTTCACTTTTAAATTAATTATTTCATATTTATTGCTTATTTTTTAAAAACTATTTGTATGAAAAATATAAAAACACTTTCTATTAAACCAATGTTTTAAATATGTATTTGTGTTTATAATCAATTTTCTCACGAGTTAAATAACCAAGCAATTAATTACTATTTAATAATGAAATTTCGTTATAAGTTTGATGTAATAATTATTTTATTAATTTCTATAATCAAATCACTGATTGTATGCAAGAAACTTGATAATAATGTTAACCGTAAGTGAATATCTTTATTATATATTTTATGTAAATTAATTATCAATTAAATTCTTAAAGCGAATACAAAAATATATTCTTCGGATTCTGTAATCAAATCCGAGGCTGAAGTGTGGCTAACAGTGTCTTCTTTGGCCCAATTTGACAGAAAACTCAATCAAACAATTGAAAGACAATTAGAGCTCAATTGGAGACGAGTTCTCACTGGAAGTGGTGATCAATGGATTGGATTATTCAGTGAAAAACCCAACGAAAATACACTAAAAGAAAAGGGCAAACAGTATTCAATCGAGTTTGTGATCATCGATGGACAGACAGACGGTAGTCACAGGTAGTTATGATCTCAATAGTTGGCACAATTCATAAAAGCAATGAATAATTTAGTCTAAAAAAGTTATAATAATTTTATTTCAACAGAACTTCAATTCAATTTCCATATAAAAAGTTTTCGGAGAAAAATCTGCACTTAAAATGCTTAAAATATTGGATCGCTTTAATCAAAGCCGACAAAGTATTAGCCGAAGAATGTCTGAAAATCAATCCGTTTTGGATGGAGAAGAGTGTGGACGCGATCGGAGATATGAGTCTATTAGAGCTCATGATTCCGGGCACTCATAACAGCGCCAGTTATGGCCGATTCAGCCATAAAGACAACACACTTATGAGCAAATACTCGTTATGTCAGGACGAGACTGTCTTCAATCAACTGGTCTATGGTATCAGGTATTCGAGACACCGATTCAATTGATTCAATCGACATTCAAAGAAATAAAATATATGACAGGTTTTTGGACCTTCGCGTGGCTTACGATACGGTAAACGGGAACCGATCCAAGCTATGGATAGTTCACGGACCCGTCCCTATGAAACAGACACTGGATTCAGTGCTGCTTCAGGTGCGGCGCTTCGTCGAATTGGCGCCCAAAGAAGTGCTGGTCATTGACTTTCACCGGTTCGAGAAGGGCTTCAATAAGGATGAGATTTCGCAACGATTGCTGCGAAGACATCACCGAAAAGTTTTAGCACTCATTTTGAAACATTTGTCCGCATATTTGGTGCCGCAGACTATGGGTCTCCACTCGACGCTCAACGAACTCATTGCCAACAATAAGCGAGTGATTGTCGGCTACGCCTCTGACCAGTACTTGTCGAACAAGACGTTTGTGTTTCCAAAAGCGAGACATTTGTGGCCGAATACCGACGACACCGAAGAGTTGGTCGAGTATTTCAACGAAACGCTTTGCGATATATATCCGAATCAGTTGTTCTCAGCGATGGTTCAGTTGACGGCCGATAAGTTCGGCATTATTATCGACCGATACAACGGGTTGCGGACAATGGCCCACACCGTCAACCCAGAGATCGCTAAGGGCTTCAGCGCTGATAGTCCGTTGGGTTGGGCCAACTGTGCCAATGTTGTCGCCTCAGACTTCTTCCTCAGCAATAACCTCATCGATATATCAATCAAAACAAATCTCAATCGATCCAAACGATCGGCAAATCACACAAAAATGGATTCAAAATTAAATTAATAACTGAAGTGAGAATTAAATTGTATAGAGTTTTGTATTAAATCCAAAGATATATTTTTCGTTAAAACACATTTAAATACAAGTTATATTACATTTGATCCAAAGAACTAATGGTTGAGATCTTAATAGATAATGAGTTGGAAATAGTGTTTAATCAAAATATATAAAATGATTTGCTGTACAGTAAACATAAAGAACAAAATTTCAGACCATTTCCCACTAATAATTGTCTAAAATATTAAATTATATATGAAGTGATTTGTTGGATGCGATGTTCAAGACTTTGTCATAGTATTCAATAGACCGATGCCTTGGTTTTTGAGAGCCTAAAAGACAAACAATGATATAAATACTAAAAATCAATGCAAAGTATCGATAAAAGACAAACCTCTTTAACCGTATCGGGCATTGAACTCATCTTATAGTTAAGCAACTCTTGGGTCAATAATTTGGCCAATTCTTTAGCCAATAGGGCCTCACTTTCAGAACAAATCGCGTAAGTGTCCTAAAGAACCATTAAATCGTAAACAAAATTAAATAAAAAACACTTCAAAACAATCAATAGGCGAATGAATACCATATCAGTCAACGATGTAAGTGTAATCTGTTTCCGGGAGTCAATCATTTGGACCAAAGCGGCCATTCCTGTCGGCACCCGATCCACAACCGTTCGACTCGTGTCCGCTCTCTCGTTGGCCCCAAACCTCCCATCGCTGTCAACCTTCGCGTTGTCTTGCATTTCCTTTTTAGCCATATTTTGCTGATGAATGAGTGATCCCAAGTGAGCGTCGATGTCGTTCGTTGAACTCAGATAATGGTCACAATAGTGACAGTAAAGATTCGATTTCGACAACTCTTCCACAGTTTGCCTTAAGATTGCGATATCTCTGGACACGTCCTCTTCAGCCTCTGTGGGCACGTCAGCCGCCACTTCCGGTTCGGGTCTTAAGCGCCGCTCTATTGGCGACAGACGTCTCGGCCGTTCAAACGACGGCTTCGGTGGACGAGAATTGTAGTCATTTTGGGGCTCTTTGTTCCCAAAGTCTCTGTCATTTCTGTGATCAAAATCAACGTCCGTTCGTTTGGGTCTTTGGGGGAAGAGGTCTTCGGGCCGGCGTTGAGGCGGTCCACCGCCCCGACCACCACCTCTATCACCGCCGCGTCCACGTCCTCCCCCTCCGCGACGCATCTCCTGTTCGTACTGTCGCTGACGACTCCTATCGAGATCAGGATCCGACTCTTCTGAGCGATTCTTCCTCTTGAGCGGCGAAAGTGATTCATTGAGTTTGGCGCTCGCCATCTGAATGAAGTCGTCGAGATCGTCCACCAGTGGCGGCCGAGGCATAGGCTTATGATCGAATCGCCTGTCCCCGCGATCGCCGCCACCGCCTCTAAAGTCTTCGTCATTATCAAAGTCTGCGAAAGTATTGAGTGATAAGTTATCAGCGGTTTGTCGCCTACTGTCGGCCGCACGACGTAAGTCGGTGTCCGGTTTGGGCCGCAAATCAGTATCAATCGTATGATTACCGGAAGAGTACTTCTCGCGCATCTGATCGATGTTCATCTGTCGGTCGCTTTCATTCCTCTGGATCTTATCCTGAATGCCATCTCTGATGCTGTTTCTGAAGCCGTCGCGGTATCCGTCGCCAGAGCTTCTGTCGTCCATCTGGTTATACGACCGGTGCTGACCTCGACCTCTACCTCTGCCTCTGTGCCGATCTTCGCCGACAACTGACCACTTGTAGGCACTGTTTGCCGTAAAACCGCTCCTAAACTGGCGGCCCATTGGAGACCAGCCTTCGTTGCCATCAGTTTGTAAGTCGCGGCCAAACTCTTGTCGACCGCGACCTCCGCCTCGACCGCCGCCGCGACTCATACCCATCGGCGGACCCGAAGAGGTGTCCATCGGTGGGTCCGGCGGTCGGGCCTGCGGTGTCTTATCGACGAGATCTTTGTTCTTAATGTTCTTCACTTTGCCGGCCATATTGTCGTCATAGATGCCCAACGCTATCATCTTCTTGAGCCTCTCCTGGTCGAGGAACATGTCGTCGTCGGCCATGGCTTACGAGTGTCTGTGTCTGCTCTGTCTGTGCGGACACAAGTGGTCGCCGATTGTTGTGATTGTTTGTGACAAATGGTTTCGCAATACAAATGGCAGTCAAGCAGTAAAGCACTCAAAACTCCTCCCATTTTGAGCCCAAAAACACTGTTTCGGCGCTCAATTCAAACACAACTCAAAACCCTTTCCGTCACTAATTATATTACAATTGTTTTAATTATATTTAATTTAATTTCAATTATAAACTTATTATAGTATGCGATAATCTCTCGCGTATTGCATCCAATCTTTTGAATATCAATGGTTTGTATTGTTTAACATTCATTGTCACCACAAAGTGATAACTGTCTCAAGACTTGAATTTTAAAACAATATAAAATATGAGATTTCGTGTAAAATAACATTTATTTCACTAATTTTTTTATGATTTATTAGACTTCTCGGCCCTCATCTCCAACTTTATCCTTCTATTAAGCTTTTGCTTCCGAAGCATGTCTTCGTATTCAATGTCTTCGGCCTTCTTTTGCTTCCTCTTCGGTATATTATCGGACAGAGCTTTCCTCCAATCGCTGCCTTCACTCATATCGTTGAGAATCTTCACGACATGATTGAGACACAAGTATTTAGAGCCCGACGCCCACAGAATGTTCTCATCGATGGGCAGTCGGGCCATACGGATGCCCTCCTTCTTGGCCTTAATATAAGAGACCGGTTGATGAAACGACTTGTCTATAAGACCGCCCACTATATAGATATCGTCGGGATTGTAAGTCTTAAGGGGTTGGTCCGCGTGTGGCGTCAAATACAAGAGGTTTTCTTTGGGAAACAGATCCAAATACGACTCCGTATGAAATGGTGCCATAAATTGCGGTGAATTACAGGTTGGAAACAATTTATTGATCGCTTGCATCGTTGGTAACGACGGCTTACAGTTCGTGAAGCAGAGGTCAAAGGGTTCCCGACTCTGGAACCGATTGTGATTATACAGCAAATGTATTTGTCGGGCCAATAGTCGGCTTTCAGACAATTGCATGTATTGGTCGTAATCCAAATCTATGACCACTTTTTGGCCAAAAAAGGCTGCATTTATGTGACGATAGATGTGATGCCGTTTTATAGCAGTGGTCGGGATCTTTATGAACAGCGAATTATGCCATAAGCCGTATACCAACTCATTATCATTACTCCAGAGACCAGTTCGGGGCACTTCCGGCGCGTATTTAGTCTTCAATTTCTCGTTGTATTCAATGGAGTTTTGCTTTCGTTTCTGATTAGACTTATCTCTCGCCGTTTGCTTCTTCGAGAGATACGTCAACCACTTCTTCCGCTCAATGGACGAGTTGAGTGCCAACAAGTCCTTCATCTGATCGGTGGTGATAGTAGTGGGCACCCGAAGAGTGGTGTACTTCTCGTACTCGTATTCACTCAAAATGAGTTCAATTCTGTCGCGAATCGTGTCATCGGTGGCCAACTCTTTAAACGAATCGACGGTCACCTCTTGGAACCGCTTCTCTTCGTACAAACCCATCGTTTCTGAAGTGAAATACAAATACAAAATAAATACTAATTTAGATTTGTTTTGAAATTTAATGAATATTTGCCTGAATTTTGTGATGAGTTTATCGATGAAAAACATTTCATATGTTTTATGTTTTGCCTCAAAATGTGTCGAAATATATTGATTGCGGAAATCATTGCAAATTAAGTGACAATTAGTTAATTGTTTTCAAACATTATTACTAAATATTAATCACGATTTTAAAGGTTTGTTTACTTTTGATTCAAACAAGTTTTGAACACAATTTCATTGAAAACATGTGTTGTTTAGTATTTTTGTACATAAACTACGAGAAATTGATTGAAAAAGTTTTGTCAAGTTTTGTAAAGTTTTCGCGAAATGAAAACCAAATTGAATTTCATTGAGAATTTAAAATTGTGGTTAAAAATGAATGCAAAACTTAACATTAACTAAAACACTAAACAATGCTAATTACGTAATGATTTAATAATGTATTTTCCGTTAATTAAAATAAACATGATTTACTCAAACAAAACACTATAATCGTTGTCTCAGTCATCGCTATTACTGTCGGACATCACATCAGACACCAAATCGTCCGTTAATTCATCGTCAAAACTGACGCCCATTTCATAATTGCCGTCACTTTTCACGCGAATAGCGGTCACAAAGTCTGAAGTTTCGGCCAAAACGTCCTTAAAATAGATATCCAATCGAAGTGCGGATATGTTGGCCGCGGACTGACATATGGGACACAACCACTCCGAACGCCATTCGTTGACATCAAATAAGGACTGGCCGTCAAAGCACTCGATGTGCTGACAGTCGACTGTCCGGCACGGGATCCGCATTCGGCGGTGACTTATCTTTCAAACAAACAAAACAAATGCGTTAAAAACAAGTTAAACGCCAATAACTTTTGGCACATAAATACCGGACAAATGAGTGAAACTTGTATGAAGTCATCCAATACACTGATCTCATCGTCACTGATATTGTGGTCAACTCTGCGGCGAATCAACGATTTGGTCGCATCGGCGGTCAACCAGTGCCGCGAATCGGTGGTCAATAAGTCAGTAAATGATTTGTCCGTCCATTCAGTAACGACACTCATCTCAAAAAGTGCCGATAAATTGTATTCAGAGTTCTTGGAGGACAGGGAGAACCAGATGTAGTTCACACCGAGTCGACAGTATGGGCTCACGTCAAACGGCCGGCGCCACTGCTGGCCATCGGAATAGGTGTAAACTCGGGCGCCGTTCACGTCTATACACAGCTCTTCGGGTACGGAGTCTTTGGCCGCCGATTCGGCCGTATGACTGAACCGCAGCTGTATTTGCAACCGATTTTGGGCCAAAATCTGCTGTAAATTCTTGTCCTCACAAATGTATGCGTCGGGAAAGTGGTCTCTATTGAGAAGAAATATCTTCCGGACGCCGCCATAAGAAATCGATGGCAACACTTCCGTCTCGTGCAACCGCTTTACGATCGTATACTTCGGCAATGGTCTGAACGCATAGCCGGTGACCACTTCATGGCCGCTGATGTCCGCCGATAGCGAAAAGACCCCAAGACTCGTGTCAGAGATGGTGACAGATGGCGATGAACTGATGGTGTGATTGAAGGGATGGTAGAATGGAGACGATTTGCGGATAATTAATGGTGAGTCCACGCGCTGTCTCTTCATCGGCATCGGAGGTGTTGGCCGTTGCATACCGTCGGCCATTGAGCTCTTGGCTTTACGGCGACCCTTCCAGAAGACATTGCTATCATATATGTCGCGGACACGTGACAAGCCGTGGGCTTCGATGACGGGCGAGTCGATCAGTTGATGGACTCTTGACAACAGTACCGGTTTTGTGTCCCTTTGTCTGTACGTCAACCGGAACTCCTTTAAAATCTCTTGAAGTTGACATTTGGTGAAGTCTTGGATCAGTTGATGCAGTCGTTGACGTTTGTTGGCGTCAACGATAGCGGCGAAGTCGGCGGTTGTCATCGGTGGCGGTGAATGTTGTAGTGACCCGTTTGTCGCCAGAAGTGGGTAACGCCATAGTTTCTGTTTCTCCCACTTGCAAAAGATTGGATGCGATGTCATTGTCCGATGGGTTGGTGTCTAATGGATGTGTTTTGATTGAAATTTGTTATGTTTTGTGTTTGAGATAAACAGTTATAATATAAATGTAATTAAATGTAACGGTATTTAAATACATGTCTATCTATTGTTTAATTCGTGACTTTTTGGTTAAGTTCTCATTTTTAAATTGAAATACTTTTTACTAACAGATTGTCATTCAGTACTTGTAATACAAAACTATTGATAACTAATGTCTTTCAAACCAATCTTCGACTTCTGGCTGATTGTATGGGTTTTGATGTATTTGTATGAATGCAATGACTTGTGTGACAATCCCGTACTCAACAGTGCATTCAATTTCCAAAACACAATCTATATATTTCGCGACGGCTTTTACTTTACATTGGATTTAAAGCTTAATTCTGTGTCCGATAAGACACCACTCAATCAGACATTCAAAGGTTTTCATTACATTCATTAGACATAAAATTATAATTCAATGTTTGATTGCATTAACAGATAATAGGATCTCAAGAATCGATGCCATGTTTCCATATAAAGACACTGATCTTATTTACGTATTTTCGGTACTTATAAACCATTTGATAAAATCGATGCATAATTTGTGTGCAAATTCTTCATTTAGGAAAACAAATACTACTTTTTGGTGGCCATTCCTACCGATAATACCATGTCATTCATGATTCCCGATAATGTTGTGGTTCCGACCAAATGGCAGTCAGCGGGCGGTGAGAGTCTATCGGATTGGTTCCCGACCACAATCAACGGCGCGCTTACCGTCGGTGAAAATTTGTTGCTATTTCACGACAAATACGTCCGTTATGTCCGACTCACCGACGACTGGCCCACAGGTTATCGCGAAAACAGCGTTACATTCAATTCAATTGAGTTAATTGTTTTGCATTCAATTCACAGGCAATGCAAAAGACGTTCCCTTTTGGGGTTCACTCAAAGATATTCCCAAAATTGATGCCATTTTTGAGATAAAGCCGGAGAAAAAGATTATGATAATCGCCGGCCGTTTGAACTGTTTGTTTGATAAAAAGCAGATTAATTTTAGCAATACTGAGGCATTCAATATAACCGTAAGACAAATATGCATTGAAATTGAAAATTGCTTTTCCAACAAAAATGTTAACTATAATTGAATGGCTATAATAACAGTGCGAATGGAAAGAATGGGCGAAACTGTTTGGTTGCGGACAGCAAATGGATACTGAAGTTAGAGACACCGAAACAGCAGTTCCAACGCTGGCGGCAATTGGCAACAACACGACCGAAAGCTCGACAACAACAAGGCGTTGTCGAAGTTTGTGCGCCGTCTCGAGAAGTCGTGCGTCGAGACCGTCGATGACGGACACATGACCAAAGACTTGGCCGGTTGTA